CTCTCTTCCTTAACTTCAACTCCCATCTTCCCAAGGACTTTAATATGCAATCTACCTTGTTTCACAAACCAATTAGAAAACCTCTCTTCCTTAACTTCAACTCCCATCATCCCAATGACATTAATATGCAATCTACCTTGTTTCACAAACCAATTAGAAAACCTCTCTTCCTTAACTTCAACTCCCATCATCCTAATGACATTAATATACAATCTACCTTATTTCCCAAACCAATTAGAAAACCTCTCTTCCATAACTTCAACTCCCATCATCCCAAGATCCTCTCCAAACTTCTACTACAAAATATATCAGTCATGCGTGCCATTCACATTTAAAATTCTTCTGGTCCTACCTTTATTAATCGTGTTTTGGCCGAAAATAGTGACCCTGTAGCTCATCTCCTGTTTAATGGAATCTTTCTTTAATGCCAACGCTATTGGGTTAAAGCTTCCCATCCCCCCCCTCCCCAGGCTCTGTGCTGTGAGAGATGCCTATTATACAACTCACATATCACTGCTAAATGCCCTAACCAACCAGTTTGTTCTCATCTCCTTCGCCAAAGCTCTTGCTTAAGCTCTCATCCCCTCTGCAACACTTACCATCTTGATCACACAACATATTCCTCTAAGTGCCAGGGTAAGCCTACCCCAAGACCTATTATCCTGCTTCTGTTGCTCCAATGTGTATCACTGATGCCACTACCCCTCCTGCCAACTCTGTTGCTACGTCTCTTACCACAGAGGATATTATTTGTTTTGTCACATTGATACTACAGAATGTCCTTGCATTCAAATGTACATTCGTTCTAGATAATATTATCCATGCTGCCAAGACTGTCTTTCGCTTTCACATCCAGACCACTTATTCTGGACTTAACTCACACTTTCTATTTCATCGTCCATGGGATCCAGCAGAAACTACATGTTGAAGTATTTATTTGTAAATATTCGCTCTCTTCTTTATAACCTCCCCCTTCTGGACATCTTGTTGGATAGAGGCTCCTATGATTGTGTTCTCCTTAACAAAACTTTTCTGATGCCCACTCAAAGGATCCCTTTGTCAGGGTACACTCTTCACCAATATGATCATCCTATGGGTATGATCATATGATCTTATGATCATCCAAGGAGGTATGGTAATTGCTACTCGTACTCATCATCCCATGTGCCTACATTCCATTTCACAGTCCTCTGATAATCGCTGTTTACTCGAAGCATCACTATTGCAACAATTTACATTCGTCCTGGAACTCCTTTGCCCGACGCCTTTCTGGACAAATCGTTTCACAGCTATATTATTGTTGCTGATGTCAACTACCACAGTAAGAACTCTGTCGAAGTTGCACATTTTCAGTCCTTCTTATGCTCCCTTTCTGGTTCTTTGCTACCCCTGCTGGCCCTAGTCGTCTGATTTCTTATTCATCACTTGATATCATTTCTGTTTCTATCAACCTGGTTTCTCTTATAACTCTCCACATATTTCCTTTGTCTGGTAGTGATCATCTCCCCATAGAACTTTGTGTCTGTTCGCAGACCTTGCCCATTCCTCGTGCTTCCCGTTAGACTCAATTCAGTTTTCGTTCTGTCGACTGGAAATCTTATGCTTTACACATTGCTAGTGCCATACCAGATACGAATCGGCTTCTTACTATGTCAGATGATGTTGACTCATTCGCCACCTTTCTCATCGCTCTTCTCTCTGATGCCAGTGCTTTACACTCCCCATAAACCAGCCTTGCCTCGAAGAATTGTGGATCTGTTACACCACTTTCTTGCGTGAATACCGTTGGTCTCATGATCCTTTGTTGCTGCAACGATCCAGGAGTTTTCAACATACTGCCTGTAATTTTGTTTGGGTGGTCTGAAGTAATTGGTGACATCAAGCCTGTAACAGTCTCAGTCATTCCTCTTCTTTCTCGCAATTCTGGAACTGTTTTAAGCTCCTTACCAATCCACGATGCTCTCCCTACTATCCTATTCTTGTTGATGGTGCTGCACCTTCTACATTTTTGGACAAGGCCAACCATTTTGCTGCTTTTCATGAACAGAACTTTCAGGTACCAGAACGTCATATTCTTGATAACAGTGACATTACAACCATCGTGAACTACACCATTGCCTCTCTCGTTGACCTTACTCCTAGTTCTTCCCATGTTGTTGACGATGATTTCTTACATTCTCCCATTACTGCAGCTGATATCCGCTGGAGAACAGACGTAACTCTCTCTCTGGTCCTGATGGAATCACATACTGCCAACTCAGTCATGCCCCTATTCAATTCCTTCCACTTCTTGAATTGTTTTACACCTTTTTTATTCCCTCAGGATTTTTTATCGTTCCTGGAAGTTCTCCACTATTCTGTTTTTTCTGAAACTGAGTAAACCTGCCTCTGATGTTAATTCTTATCACCCTATCAGTCTCACTAGTGTTTTCAGTAATACCTATAAATGCATCCTTGTTGCCCATCTTCATCAATGCATTGCTGCTCACAACCTGCTGCCACATACACAGGACAGGATTTCGACCACACCTTTTTACATTGGATCAACTTCTCAAACTGTCTTACTCACTTTCCAATCATTTCAACAATTGAAGATCCTTCTGCATACTTCTGTTTGATTTCTGGCGTGTTTTTTGACTCAGTTTGGCATCATGATTTACACCATAAACTGTATATGTTACATATTCGATGGGAGGGCACCGTGGGAAGCATATAGAGCACAATTTGAGCTCCTGACATAGGTGAATGGATGTACAGTGGAGCTGAAAGCAGTATATCTGTCAACGAGTATATCTGTGAAAGCAGTGCATGATTGGCCAACACCAGACAACGTGGGAGAGTTAAGAAGTTTCCTGGGACTCTGTATCTATTACCGGAAGTTTGTGAAGGACTTTGCAACTATAGCTACATGATTTGACAGTTTGTTGCCAGCATGCTTTCAAGCATTGAAAGAAAAATTGGCCTCAGCTTCACTTTTAAAACTTCCAAATCCCTCACTGCCATACATACTGGATTGTGATGCTAGTAATGTCGGAAATGAAGGAGTGTTGTCTCAGAATATGGGCGAAAATGAACATGTGGTTGCTTACTTCAGTAGGGTCCTGAGTAGACCAGAAAGGAACTACTGTGTAACCCGGAGGGAACTCGTTCCTATAGTGAAGAGTCTGACATATTTCCATCCTTACCTCTATGGCGCCAGATTTACCATCATGACAGACCATGCTGCATTATACTGGTTAAGATCACTAAAGAACCCAGAGGGACAATTGGCACGTTGGATCGGAAAGTTAGA